CATGCTGGCTGGGGAATTCTGGGATTTGAAGTCCACACAGCTTAAAGCGGCCAACGTTGAGAAACACTGTCCTAAACTGAGATTATATCCAAAGGTATCTTATGCCTTGTCATAGCAGGTGAATACCTAAACAGCCTTAGCTATCCCAAGCAAGCTAAGCAGGGCTGGGCCTGGTAGCTACTTGGAAGGGACACCAGTAAGAAATCCTAGGGTTGGAGTTTATTCTGGGAAGAAGGTATTTGCCAACCATTTCCACACTACTCTTGAGAAAAATACACCGATGTGTCCACAAAGTCATCAGGAGTCAAACTCAATTTGAGCAAGTAATTATTTTAAAATGGTGCTTAAATCATAGTTTTTCTTCCCCACCTAACATCAAATGGAGAACTTTATAAACAAGCTTGGTTTTCCCCAGACTTTTAAATTTTGATGTCATTGGGAAGTAAGCATTTTTCTTTTTGCCGCTACTGGTTCAGAAAACCCCAACCATTCAGAATTCAAAAGCTAGAGATGTTCAAAACTTACAAATTCAGGAAGAAAAATACTCTGTTCCACCTCTGAACCTTCCCTTCTCATCACATTACTTTCTTAATAACTACTTAATTTATATCTCATGTTGGACAACAATGACCAAATAACCAAAGCAAACTTTTTCCCAGGAGAGAATCCTTTTCAAATATTTAATTACAGAAAGTATCAGTTCCCATATTCTTGTGTCAAACAAGAGATAAACAAAATTCATAGTCTTGAATGTTTGATATCTCTTGCTTTTTTTTTTTTTTACAACTTTCTGTCAATCTGTAGAGGTCTGCTATTTAAGAAGGATACCAGCAATAACGTAGGCAGTTTATATTTCAGGGATCCAAAGAGCTGATCAACAGGGTCCACAGGAGAAACAGGGTGGTAGGTCTGGCACATCCATTCCAATAAGTTAAGAACTTAGCTAAAATAATTGTATTTGGAGATTGTTGAGCAACTGCTCACCAGTGCAGCAAGCAAAGTCTGTCATTGTTGAACAAATGGTATGGAAGCACCAGCTGATATCATCTCCCTTATCTTTTACACCATTTGCTCCTTGTTCTGGAGTTCCTGTTACAAATCATCCAGAGATACCGGATCAATACATCCTGATCTACCGTCAAGGTATTAACCTCTTCAGACCCTCAAGTGGCGTCCTGTTTGCACACCCAGGTAAACCTCTCCCTTCGGAATTTCACGGATGCAGGGAATGAAACAAACCTGTTGTCTGGCTTGTCTGTCTCAGAGTTACTGAAACTGTTCTCTTCATTTTCACAGTCACCTGTAGAAGGAAAAGTGTGCAGAGTCAGTGAAACACAATGAAGAGGGGGAAACAGAAAAGGACATTGACTCTTTAACATTGTCACGCTCACGGAGTATGGAAATCCATCTGGGAAGACCTGAGTTCTGCTGCAGTACATCAAGCGCCTGGCTGTGTTTTGGCTTAATCTGAGGAGGATGGGAATTGTAGTGTAACACCTCTGGAATGCACCAGATTCAGGAAGACTGAATCAAGTAACTTGAAATAAATGAGCCAAGCCACATTCTCAGAAGGAGAGGGAACAGAGAGAGAACCTCCCCAATCGGATCAGAGGAGGAGGATCTTTCCCCAAGGTCTAGAAAACAAGACCTTTGCACTCTAATAGTACACCAAATGTTTTGATTCAAAACACATTTTATTTCCGGTGCCCAGTTTCTAATGCACAATGGCTGCCTGAGTGAGAAATGGGATGTTTGGGGAGATCTGAAAGGGTTTCAAGCTCAAAAACTGAGCTGTTGCATTTGAAAAAGGACATTTCAAACTCCATATTGTTTGAACTGAAATATCTGTATCTATATACCTCTGTTGAGCTGCTTGCCCTCCCTAGCCAAAAGTTGAATCCCGAATCTAGCTAGTGGCTGGATTCCCACTTTGGAGCCTGGGAAATGCTTCACTCTGGGATTGCTTCTTTAAGTTCTGACCAAGCATACATTTGATTGGGACGTAAGGGGAAAATTATGAAATGCACAGCTAGAGGACCATCCTATGCACCATTTTTTAGTGTAACGAGCTAAGGCTTGGTCCTGACTGTGCCCCCTCCATTTCTGGAACCCAGCCCCCAAAGCAGCCCTTGAAAGTGGGTGACAACATAACAGCCCTCCTCCCCATCCTTCTACCCCAAGGGAGTGCAGATGGTACCTTGACAAGGGCCTTCATCCAGGGGTGAGCCCTCCAGGGGCGGCGGTGGCTGAG